AGAATGTCGACGCTATGTGAAATGGATGACCCGGGACAGGTCTGGCCGCTCATAGCGGCTATGAATTAAAGGAGCCGGTGGAATTGAGATCTCCGCGTGCAGCGTCTGAGCCGGAGGTACAGTACAGAGCAGGTGCAGTCACCCATGGAGACGGTATGGCCCAAGTGCTCCTGTCTGACCTACAGCCATCAGTCACACCGGCCAACAGCAGAGCGCTGTGCAGCACGCAGTACGTTAGGGCAGCCTTTGGCAAGAAACGCCAAATGAATTGAGGAATTTGAGTCATTTTTTAAATATATAATACCCTGAATAAGCTAGAATGCTGCGCCGTCAGCAGAAATCAAAGGACGAGTTTGCCTTTGTAGCAGCCAGCAGATATATATTTGGTGGCCACTGCTAGCTTCATGCTTCAGCCCGTCTCCTGTTTTTCGTCCACATCGCGGTTTGTGTAGCAGTGATATCCGAGAGCAATAAAACCTATAAAAGCTGAGGTCGCTTGAATCCGAAAGCAGCTTAGTAAATAATAAGCACGTGTTCCTTGGCGCGTGTCTTTTTTAAACAGACTCGTCTGTTTGTTTTATCCATGTTCCATCGATAAATTTTGAAGCGAGGTGAAATCGATCGGCGGGTATCAATTCAGGACTTGAACAAGAGGTGGTTTTGTGCTTTTTTTTTTTCCCATGATGCACTCATCTCACGCTAATGTGCCTCGGTGACTCCGTTGGGGCTGTAATTTATTTCCCAGTACTGTCGACGTATATGTGTTTGAGCTGCCCGCCGATGATGGTCGGGGCTGGCGCCGGGGTGGGGGGGCAAGATGCATTTTTCTGGGGAATCGGCAGAAATATCCCCGGTCGTCATCTGCTTTGCTAAACTGGACCCAGAGACTCTGCCGCGGTGGCTGCCCCGTGTCGCCGCCCCTAAACCCCCCCGTCCAGCACCTCGCCCCCTCCCGCAGGACAGCAGGGATTTGTTGTGATGCTCTTCGGTTATGAAAGCACTAAAATATACTGATGGATGGAAAGGTGGGCACTAATGAATTATGCCCCCTGACAAGAGCTGTTCCTTAGTGCTCTCGGGGAAGATTAATGGAAACGGCCCCCGCTGCCTCTCCACATCCCCCCCCCCAATGTATGACCTTGCCCGGCGGAGCTGTGAGAGCTTCGACTTGGCCATGTGATGAAATATTTACGCCTCTTGACTTACACGTGCCACAACAAGGCGCTTGCGGGCGGCTCTGGAGCTGGTCTCCCGCTGGTCTCCAGCACCCAGCGGCATGGGGTCACCTCCCACAGCCTCGCTTCTCCTTCAGGAAGTGCTCCGCTGGGACCCCGAGGATCCACGGCCACCTCCCTCCCTCCATCTCGGATCGGCGGCGTGTCCAGGTCCCCAGCAGGGTCTCCCTCATCCTGATATAAATTATTATTGGCTCTAATTAAAAAGGTGTTTCCTCTCTGGTACAATAAAGGTTATAATAATGATGATAATAGAGGCTTTATAGTGGCTTATTGGATGGCAATGTCACCTCAGATTTCCAAAATCAGGAATTTCAATCCCATCCCTGTGTGTGTGTGTGGGGGGGGGGGAGAGGAGGGAGGCCCTTAGCCAAAAATAAATTGAAGGTGGGAGTCCCCCCTCAGTTGACTTCACCAAACAGGCGGTGCAAGTAAATTTCAAGTCTTCATTTTCATACCTAATCAGTAGGAAACAAATTGTAGTGGGGAGGGGGGGGGGTATTGTGGTGCGGAGTCTGCATATTCTCCTTGTGTATTTAAAAGGTAGTTCCTCTCTTGTCCAGTATGTTACGATGATGATGATAATGGGCATTTTACTGGCTCATTGGTTAGCAACATTGCCTCGTTTCCAAGGTCAAATCCCATCTCTTTGCGTGAAGAGTTTGCATGTTCTCCCTGTGTTTGTGTGGGGGTCGAATCCCACCCGTTCTGTGTGTGGATTTTGCACGCTATCCCTGTGTATGTGTGGGGGTCGAATCCCACCCGTTCTGTGTGTGGATTTTGCACGCTATCCCTGTGTATGTGTGGGTTCTCTTCGGGTTCTCCAGTTTCCTTCCACCTAATGGATTCCTTTAAATTGCCCATAGTGGGTGCCAGTGTACCCTCTGATGGACTGGTATCCAGTCCACTGTGTCCCTGGCCTGTGTCCTGTGTAGCCGCCAGGCATGCTGTGACCCTATACTGGAAGGAAAATGGATCGATGTAATAATAAATGAATAAGGTTAAAGTTTTTCTTTTCCACCATCTGAGAATGTACTAGTCATTCTTGTGGAAGTAAAGCAGTTTTTCCTGCATTGTGAGCCTTCTGTTCCTGTGAAAATGCTCTAGTGATTCCATTTATGGCATTGACATTAAGGAGGTCTGATTGGAGTTTCAAATGAGTCATAACAGTTTACCTTCACTCACCCTGCTTCTTCGTGTTATAACTCTGCTCATTGCTCAATAAATGTTGTATTTTGAGTGACTGGTACTTAATAATGACGTTCTAGTGAGAGTCTGTCCAACATACTGGTTTTTTTTGGTGGGGGGAGGGGATTTTCAAGTGTACACCAAAGCGATGACTGAAATTCTGAGGACTGAATTAGCTCACACAGACTCTGCTCCAGGTACACAAGAATAGCAAACACACTAAAGAGAATTAAGATACATTCACACAGCCTGTAGCTACAGTATTTAAAATAGATGAACACCCATCTGCTCGATTCATTATAATGGTCCATCAGTATTCTCATTCCTGTTGCGATCTGCAGGGGGTATCCTCTATATATGATACATGTGATTTAAACAAAACAGGAGGAAACTAATGAAACTGTTAATGAAATTATGTTATTGAAAGCATGCAGACTTTTAGTAATTCAGAGCATCTGGATTGGATATTTACACTTCGTAGTGAGCTAATATTTCTATTAGTGGTAAAACAAATTGAGGTTATGCCTTTGTTTGTACTTGATGCCATTACGTGTTGACTTACTAAATGCAAGTTAGCCTTTATTTAACCTTACCCGACACCCCAGGCTGAAACGACTAACAGAGTGGACGGTATTTATGCAGTTTACACTCAGCTGGTTTCACACTGTGGCCCAAATAAAATGCAAGTGTGTGTGTGTGTGTGTGGTGGGGGGGGGGGCGTGGACATAGAATTCAGGATTCTCTCAAAATAAGCCATCAGTGCCACTGTTAACTATGTTTCACATATTTATTTCTAAAACATGCTGTGCACCTTTAAGGTACAGTGGATCTAATGTCATATACAAAGGGTGTACACGATAATATTGCTTGATGATTAAGATGAATACCCTGAAGTTTAATATAGAATTGTTCATGTTCCTGATATGTTAAAGTTTGCTTTAAAGTTTCCATATGCCTCGATCCTAACGTGGTTGTCACGAGTGAAACGTATAGGGCGTGGATTGACATAAGGGGACTTGGAGAATAAATGAACGAAGTTTTGAGGAATTTTGTAGCGTAAAGTGTTTTGTCTTTAGCCAAAAAAAAAAAGAGATGGCATTGCAGCCTGAAGACCTGCGAGTAGGAGTACGGGGGATTGCAGATAATAATCCGAGAGCGAGCCGTGAGACGTGGATTAAAAACAGACGGCATTGTTGAAGTCCCCTTTGTTCTTTTTCACTACTTTGATCTAATCCTCAGGCTCTTCAGACGTCAGCGTAATTATCCATGGCACTTTTAAGGCAGAGGCGAACACTGACGGTGGAGTCCCCTGACCTCAATGGCACCATGGCGACCGAGATGCCGTGGCCCCCCGAATGCAAATTCGGGATTAAGCGCCGCTCTGACGGGATTGCTCTCATGACGCTGACGCCAGTGTCAGATTTGCAGTGTGTGACGCTTCATGCCGCCTTTCGGGCAGTCACTCGAGCCGGCTAGTATGCATCTTTATAAGTGTGTGTATATGTCGTTTAATAATATATACATACACATGGAACTGTCGCATGGAAACGTCTTAGGCAGCTACTGGAAATTACAATATGTTTAAACTTTGTCTGACACGTTTATTCAGAGGGACTTTTTTTTGAGAAAGCAGGGTCACAGTCCCCAGAGCATTTATTATTAACTGTGACATCACTCTGCTGACCCTGGGACTTGAGCTGATGGCCCTTTGATCACCGGGACAGTGACCTACCCCGCTCAGCCACACTCTAGCCACAACTGCGTTTACGTCTATGTCAATCTATCGTTTTATGTTTGTAGGAGTGCGTACTTTTTATTACTGTTGTTACTGTTAATCTGTGCTGTATACATTCTATATAAAACTGCTTTTTTTCTGAGCAAATGTACACTCACTGTGCAGATAAATAGCTTTAAACATAATTTCCTTAGGCTGACTAATACTCTTGCGCAGTACTTTACATGTATAAACTCTCCTCTAGTGCTTGTGCCCACGTTGAATAGATGGTAATTAAGGTTGTAACGTATCAGCCAGGCCGACACTAACGTCTTACGTTTTTGAATCGGCAAGACCAAGAAATAAATAATAAAGCTGTTTTTTCGTACTTATCGCAGACTTGTCAAATCTCAACATTAGGTATGCCTGCCAGAGTTTATTTTACTCAGTTTAGCAAATTATCTTTTGAGACATTCCGAAATCTCATTAAAAATCGTATCGACAGTACAGTTACGACAGAATAGCGTACAAAAAATATTGTTGGTTATCTTTCCTGACAGCAGCTAGCCTGTATCACGCTCCTTTTATTGTAATATTTTAAGGTTAACATTATGAATATTTGAGTATTCTGTGAGTGTTAGAAGAAAATATGACCTGTGCGTATTCACAAAAGGATACCATTTCATTTAACAATAAACATCTGGCAAAGGTGGTACTTAACTTTTATGAGTTTGATACACATGGTCGAAGAAGAATAGTAATTCAATTCACAATTTTTATTAACATAAATCAGACAACTTTTTTTCCATTTGTAAAAATAAAAACCTCTTTTGCCAGTCCATTTTTTTTTTTCTTTCTAACAGCTAGCTGAGGAAGTGCAGAGGAGATCTGCTGCAGGCGAGTCTCTCTATTCGCCGTTGACTCCATCGAATCAGCGGCCGATGCATATTAATCTGTGGGTGATTTCACTACTGGAGCAAGGCTTTTCCGCTTTCAATTAATTTTTTTTCCAGATATTTCCTGTCCTCCTTTTAGCTTAAATTTCTAGCATTATGTCATTGCACACAAACTTTGCACCCTGCTGTTTGGCTGTTCTTTTCCATAAGCTAAGAGTAATTTATGCCGCGATCATCCATTGTAAAAATCAGTCATAAAAATGTCAATTTGCCGATAGCCAACAGGAGATTTTATGGCTTTATCAGCCAGATATGGCTCTTTGAGTGATCAGTTGAGGCAATCCCTTGTTTTAGTTTATAACAAGGGAATTAATTATTCTGCAGGTCCTAAGGAAAATGGCTCCCATGAGAACGTCGTAGGAAGAGTTTGGTTTGTCTAAGCAGCCTCAGGACTGTGTCCTTTCAGAAATAGGATACACAGCGCTCACAGAAGGTCTTGGGAGGCTTGCTTAATTCTATTAAATGTTGCACATTTATTGGTTTCATAATAAAAGTCCATTGACAGACAACATTTAACATATGTGCATATATATTCAGCACAGACATTCTCTTTTTAATAAGTGTCATTTTCTTGACTGACTCATTCACTTCTATTCTTGTCATTGCTATTAAATGCAATTGTAGTCATTGACTCCCAAAGGGATACTAAAAATAAATGTTTGGTGTTTTATATTATTACAGACGTCTTACTAATTAAAAAGACTTTGTCAATGAACTTGTAACTCAAATCTTTTAGAACTATATAATTTGGGTTTCAGTGTGTTACATGAATGTTTTACTTAAAACTACTGGTTGATTCTAATGTGAGATATATTGTAAAACAAATGAATAAAGTGGTGATTTTTGTTATAAAACCAATATATTTGCATTTCTTATTGAATTAAGCAAGCGAGTCTGTGAGCGCTGTATTTTGATGCTGCACTGAGCAGAATAGATGGGTGAGTACACAGTATGTAAAACTGGTATGAATTTAAGAGCAATTTGTCCATGGATGATCTCAGCTATTGTGCCTCAGCTTGAGGCTGATGTCCCATCTTCATGCACAGCTACACATTTTATATATTTATGTACATACCTTTTAAAGGCAAAATTTTACCGGGGTTGTATGAATTGGGTTGAGTGAGAAGATAGGAATCCACAAAAAAATAACAGACACACCACGTAGACCCCTTTCGCAGAGTGTATTGCATATTGCATATTGTTCAAACCCACAGCTGTAGATGTGCAAGGTTTTACCGCGATTGTCTCGTGTGGTTAAATACATGTGGTGGCCTCTTCAGACGTTCTCAGAGAGGACATGCCTCATTGATCTTGTAAATAAACAACTAAACCATGCAGACCAGTGGCCTGTACTACGAAGCGGGGTTACTGGCTTATCGGGGTAACTTGTCGGATTTAAGGTACCACAGTTTAAATGGACTTCATATTCGCTCACTTACATTTTGCCCAGACTACCTTAAATCCAACAAGTTACCCCGATAAGCCAGTAACCCCGCTTCGTAGTACAGGCCACAGCAATCTGGTCAGTCTGAAGGTCCCCAGGTGAAGTATTACTTGTAGACATCTTTGTTTGTAATGGTTCCTAGTCATTTCAATAGACATCTCCCCATTAGATGTTGTGGTTCCAATGCAATATGTAAATAAAATATGTAAATTCAGTTGAAAGCTCTATGTGGATTAGCCTCCAGTTCTTAAATGTAATTGTTTTGTTCGAGGTAATCTCTGACACAATAGAAATGTCCTTTCTGGACATGATATGCAGTTATATATATTTTATGAGAGCACTTTTTTATGGCCTGCACAGAAATACTCGTCGTTAGAGTCATTGATATGACTTTTTGAAGTGCTTACTTAAAGATTTAAGGGGAAAGCAATTTGCTTTTCTCCTTTCTGCTCAGTAAGCAATTAATGAACTTGGGTCCAAACTCATGAGTTGAGTTCCATTGTTATAAAGCATGTCAACGTTGTCCTACAGTCGCAAAAAAAAAAAAAAACAAGCAGCTTAAGGCAAAATAATGAGTATTTCATTTAATCTTTAACCCAGTTTAAGTAATTCTGAATTTAGGTGCATTGAATTTGTTGTTTGTGCGCTGTCAGTGGATGTACATGTCTGGCTAAATTTACACCTCGAGAGAGAGTGAGAGACGGGTACATTTTTGTTTATTTATCATTATAAAGTAAGAATAGTCCCAAAGGTATTTCAGTTTTTTTTGTTTTTTTTTTGGTCTTACGCTTAGGAGTCATGTAGGATTGTTGGACGACTTCCACAGCTTGGTGTAAACTTTCCGAGTTGGCCCATAGTCCAAGGACACGGCAAAGAATGAGAGAGGCATGCGGGGTGGGGTCAGAGGTACGGCAGGCAGAACAGAGCCCATCTCTAGACGAACACAGTTCCAGCCACACAGGAGCTAGCACAAGGTGTAAAAATAGAAGGTGTTGTTTATTAAGACCTTCAAGGACATCTGTGGCACATCCACTCACCCTGACTTTTTCCTTCGACTAACTACATAGTTCCGGTGTCAATTCTTGTAGACGGTACCAAATAGTTCACATCCCAGGCCACGATGTGTACAAACACATGCTACTGTATTAATAAAGCCATAGTTAATTTGAAGTATGCATCTTATTGCAATTCTTGTTTTTTTTTTCCCTTAATTTTCTTTTAATTACACTTTAAATTAAGCCTAGCTATTATGCTTTATTTAATTTTGTCACCAGCCCCTAAAAGCTCCCAACATAAAGATCCTTTGTGTATCTTTTAATAAAGTAACACCTCCTTGTGTCTCTGATGTGATTATTTTGTTTCATTATGTTTTGGTGTCTGCTTCATGTTTGGGATTTTAACGAGACAGAACACACTGGTGGCCAGGCATGCTGATTTTGATCTGTAATCTTGGATGGTTATCTGTTGACCCTGCAAATGTGATATTTATTGAATAATGATGGTGAAAGCCTAATTTGGTGGAAATGTTTTACCTCTAGTAATGCATATTAATTAAGAGCCTTCATCTGTGGAGATGGTTTTTTTTCCAGATGTCGAGTTTTTAATAGGGAATTTTAATGACATGGGAGCAGTTCTGAAGATTCCATCCTAAAAGATTTTGATTGCTTTATGGGAGATTTTTTTTAGCTAAAGCAGTGGAATTGAATTTAGAGTACAACACACTATTCTTGCCACAAATACACATAATATGCTCTAGCTATTTCTGTGTCTTTTTCCATTTTCTGTACCCCTTGTCCAGTATGGAATCATGGTGAGCTGATGGGCGTTTTATGTACACAAAAATGTTCTGATGGCAGAGCAGGAAATGATTGGCTATCTCTAACCAATCAGATTAAAGAGAATGTGGGTCCAAACAACTAGAGAAGGCGGGGCCAACCAATCAGATGTCTTGTTCCCACCACCTCTACAATATGATTGGTTCAGACAAATAACCAATCATTTTTCATTGTGCCCTCAGAGCAATTTAGTGTAATTAAAACTCACACAAGCTCATGGTGAGCCTGGGTCTTGTCCCAAGAAGCACCAAAAACCAGAGAGAGGATGCCCAAGACTTGATGCCAGTACATCACAGGCCACATAGTCATAAATTACAGGGATTCTGAGAAACCAATTAGCCTATGTGCATGTTTCTGGATTGTGGGAGGGAACCACTGGGACAGCATGCAAATTTCACATGCACAGAGCCAATAAGGTGAGACCTGAGGTGCGGCTACAGGTCTAAGTTCGGTGACACAACACTGCTTTCAACGGCCTTTTTTAGACATATGAGCCCAGCTGGGATTTGGCACCGTGCGATGACATATTGCAAGTTCCAAAGCTCCCTGCTAACCTTTTGTTTACCTGCTGATGACATCGCCGAAAATGTCACGCAAACAAACCAACACAGCCGCAGAAGGACTGCATAGTCCTGTACTGATAAAAACATCCCATTCCTTCTCGTACCCATGTTATGCGTAATTGTATGGCAGGACAGAGAAAACGTCACCTCAACTAGTTAAGTGATTCATAGTTACTTGCAAATGAAGAAATCTAGTTTAGAATAAGTAGTCTGCATGTTAAATTCATAACATGAAATAAACAATGACTAACCTTAAGCTCTGTAAGATGTACATTACATCATCCCATTTTTGTTTACATAAATATAATGCTATATACACACACACATATATAATACTGTATACACTGATATTTCAGTCCGGCAGAAGCGCACAGTCTATATCACTGCTATTATTTCTGTATTCACTCCTGTGGAAGTGTTTCCAGCCAGGTAGAATGCCACACCAAACAATCTTTTTAGCAAATGTGCTACGGTTAAATAAAAGGCCAACATTTTCCCAACACTTGAAGGAATTTTCAAAATACCTGATTTGTTTTAAGAATTTTATGAATTTGATGATTCGTTTGTGCTTTATGAAACTTTCTGCGGCTTATTTAAACCATATTGCTGTTAAGTATCCCACTGCTCTGTGAAACACCCTAAAAGTGCAGATCCCCAGCAGCCTTATTCCACCAAAATAAAACGGGGCAGCACTTTACAATGAGGCTTTGTTTTGCCACTTATAAATGGTAGTAATGGTTGTCTTATTGTACAGTGGTACCTATAATGGTAAGCATTTCTGATTTCATCTTTATACATTGACAAACACACGGTAACCACTCTGTGCTCTGCTAAATCCTAAGAAGAATGTGATTTTCTCAGTATGAAGCAACCCAGGGGACAGATTATCCTCCAGATTTTGCCGTAATCGCAGGGGCGGACAGCATAAATTATAAAAATCTTGGTCTCGCAAACTCTAGACACGAAGCTGTTTTTTGAACGATAATCTTTGTCATACACGTACAAGACAAATGCATTACTGTCGCTCCGAAAGATGTTTTCCGCCATTGAAAGGCTTAAATCTAACAGTTCACTGTAGCTGCTTCCTGGATTCCAGACTCCGAGGTTATATTGATATGTAGCATTTTTGTATTTAATATCTCCTGCTGTGTTTATAGTGTTACGAATAAACTCTGCCAGATTGAACTGTGAAATTGTATAATGGAGCAAACTGCTGTTCTGTCATTTTCCTTAAAGAAAGTATCCTCGTGTCGTTAGGTTTCTAATGTAATCATGATATAATGCACACAAAAGGCTGGTTAATTCTCAAGGCTCAAATATTAGCTATTATTTTAAAATTTTAAAGTTCATATTCCATTTTTATGCTGTTGAACACTCAGTCTAGCATTGAAATTCTGAAACACATTTGTACACATCGTACAATTGTTTGCATAAATCACATTTTCAGCTAATCAGGGGTATACCTAGTCCCAGTGTTTTACACACTTGTTGATTAAGCTTTTAAGGCCTTAATTGTTCATCGTCTTTACAACATGGTAAAACAAACTATTAAATAAGTAAAGCGATCTCTAAATGAAGCTGTAAACGTAGAATGCTCATGAATTCACAATATAATTTGAAAGGGATCATATGGCAGTAATCTATTATGAGAGCATTAAGATGCTTGATGTGTATGTTTTACAAATTAAAATTCATAGTGCATGAAGAACAAAAAAACAATGTTCCCTAATAAATTAATGGCAACATTTTGCTAAAGAAGAATGAATTTGCTTACTCTGCATTTTTAAAATTAATTTCCAAATCTCTTTAATATGTCATATTTGTTATTATAACAATATAAATGGTTTTGTTTTTATAGTAGTTAGTTGATATATCATAACAATGTTATGTTAGCTGCATAATTCATGAATTCACTATGCATTCCACTGTTCCAGGTGGGGATTGTAACGTCATCAAGCCGATGTAGTCTCCAAAACAATGGCCTTCTTACA